CACACACACATATTTTCACACACCATTTACACTGCACACCTGTGCACGTAAATTCAGAGATTTCCTGGACGCCCTGAAGCCCATCCATGCAACCCGAGGCGTCAGCACGATCTCCGAGGTAAGACCCCAGCTCTAATTTGTGCCCTACCTCAGAAGCCACTTCCCATGCCATTTTGCCTCCCGAGTGGAAGCCAAGGGCAAAGTCACCTCGCATCAGCCCCTTCCTTCCCACTGTCCCGGCCAGGGGCCTGGCGAGATCGAGAGACCCTTCTCAGGTCCCACCAGCGTGGGCCCAGACCCGTAAGAGGGTTTGCTGAACTTGTTCCCTGGAGAAGATTCCACCCAGGGCACAGAGTGCAGAATGAAAATCCACCGGAAGCAGCAGCCTCAGTCTCCCGGCTCTGAACCGGACACTCTGGCCGCCGCAGTCCAGGCCCTGTGCTCCCTGGCTCCCAGCCTCCGCAGCACTCAGCACCCTGAACCGGAACCCTGAACCACGCGGGACGTGAAAGGGGTTCCCCCAGTTTTGGGAACCCAAGGCTGGGAAGTGCTGGGAGGCAGGGGAAGATGAACAATCCCATTGGCAGTGACAAGCTCAGCCAGTGGGCCTCCAGGGAGAGGGCACCCTGCCTGAGGGAGGCCTGCAGACTGTCAGGACCTTCCTGCCCCTCAACCCACCCCACCCCCTGCCAGCAATGTCACCCCGTAAACTGAGGGCCTGAGCAACAGCACTGATCCTGGTTACCTCCACCCCTGGAGGGAGGGGGGAGGGAGGGGGGTCCCCTGGGACCAGGAGTCCTGCACTGGCTCAGCTATTACCCTTTGCTGGTAAACTGTCCGGCCCCTGGGCCCCCAGCACGTGATTAACTGACAGTGAGGAGCTGATAAGCCTGGGGCACAGAGGCAAAGGCTGCATCCCGTTGCCATGGCAACTCCTGCAGGTGCTCCGGAAAGGAAGCACCAGGCCACGGGCTGGGGCTGTTTTCTCCCCCTTTCAGCGGGTCTCAATGTGAGAGAGGTCGCAGGGCAGGCGAGGCAGCCTAGCGCCAGCAGCAGGCACCGAGGCTCCTGTGAGCGAGCGGTGGAGCTGGGGCTGGGGCCAGTCTGCTCCTCCCGCTGCACTGGGTGCAGACATGGAACTTGGGAGCTCCCCCCGACCCTGGGCTCTCAGATTCCTGCTCCCTGTCACTATCTAAAGGAAATCTAAATTGGGGCTGCTGTCAGGCCCAGCCCCCCACTCCTCTCCTGTTCTGTTAGTCACAGAGCTGGCCTCCCTGCAGCGCTGCCCAGCTCAGGGGCACCGGGGAGTCCTGACAACCTAAGTGCTCGCCAGAGCACCAGAGGGAGGCTGGGGAGTCGCCTGAGGACCGGAGAGGCCACACCCCGACCCCGCCTGTGTAGCTGGTCCAGTGCCCTAGTGCTCCCTCCAGTGCTCTGCCTTCTCCACCGCTTCCCCGTTTCCTCCAGCCAGGGCCCGCACCCCGCCACGCCCTCCCGTCCCCAAGACCCCCCCACCATATACTCCCCCACCATATACCCCGCCCCGAACCTGCGCCTCACCGTGGAGGGTGTGCAGGAAACATGCGCAGAGAAAGCTGAGAAAGTGCAGTTGCCCAGAGTCATCAACTGCCGGGCCCAGACCGGCTCTCAGGCCCAGATCCCTAATCCAGTCCAGGGCTTCCTCTGAACCGTGTCTCTGATCCAGTCAACAATTCCAATAGCTCCACGAGGGTAACCGAGGGCAGGGTGAGGATTCCAGCCTGCCTTCCTGGCTGGTTACACACCAGCGGACCCCCTGTGGGACCCACCAGGGCCACCTGGATCCCACGTCCCATGGCTAAGAGATCCCACACTCTAACACTTTGAGGACATTGGTCTCTGAATCTGCTTCTCATTCAGCCCCCAGGAGTGCCACACCAGCATGGATGTCCAAGCTGCTTTCATTTTACTAGTGGGATCCTGATGCAGGTCACCGCAGGCTCACAGCTGGGAGCAGGCTCCACAGCACGCAAGTCTGCGATGTTAGTCCCAGGCCCATACCCGGGCTCCTGGGGCGGTGGGAAGCTGCCCGGACCCTCAATCAGGAGCCCTCCGTTCTTCCTGTTGTGCCCTGCGCATCCAGCAGCGGCCTGTGCTCCTGGTTTCCCATTTGATGAGCCATCTTCCGTGGATGCGTTTGTCACTGTCAGGAAGGGACAGGGAGTGTCCAGCTGCTGGGCTCGGAGCTGGCCGGAGAGAAACGCAGCCTCTTCCCACAGAGCAGGGCAGCCTAGCTCCAGAACACGCCCCGAAACGTCAGCGAGTGGGGGTTTCTTTCCAAAAAGCTAAGACCAGGTTCCCAGGCGAGGCGGGGAGGGAGCATCCCGCAGGGCTGGCGCCGTCAGGCCTGCAGCCACCTTCACTCGAGCTCTACGTTTAGCTGAAGTTCAACAAGCCACAGGCCTTTCGTTTCTCTTTTGATCGCTCCTGCCTTCCACAGCGGCCCCTGCGCCCCCTCCCTGGGCCCGGGAGAGAGCCCGCATGGGCGTGCATGACTCTCCCTAGACCAGCGGTCGGTAAACTGCGGCTCGGAGCCATATGAGGCTCTTTGGCCCCTTGAGTGTGGCTCTTCCACAAAACACCACGGCCTGGGCGAGTCTACGTTGAAGACGTGGCGTTAGAAGTTTAAGTTTAAAAAATGTGGCTCTCCAAAGAAATGGCAGTCGTTGTCCTGTTGATATTTGGCTCTGTGGACTGATGAGTTTGCCGACCACTGCCCTGGACCTGCCCAGAATGGGGCTGGAATGGGAGGGGCCAGGTGGAGATCCCTCCACTCGCCTTGTCTGCTTCTGAAGGAAAGGGAAGTGGACACATGGCCGGTGAGTGATGAGCCAGTGACATCAATCCGGTCCCCCCCAACGCTGGCTGGCTGTGAGGGCCCCGCCGCCCGAGAGCCTGACTCCATTGGCCAGAGCTGGGGAGGGGACGTGGCTTCAGGTATGACAAATTCCTGGGTGATTGCACACGTGGCCCGGATTGTTAGCCACTGCTCCCGGGCCTTCCAATGGGGATGTGAACCCGACCCAAGTCCTTGACACGGCTTCGTGTTAGGGAGCCAGGCTGCACCCCAACAGGAACAGTCTGCAGGGAACGTTCCTGGTGGCCGAGCACCCAGCGCCTTCGGGGGAGCCAGGTTCGGGGAGCCCCGCCGAAGGTGGCTGGTCCGCTGCAGGGCGGGGGGAGCTGGGCCAGGTCAGCGTGAGACCCGTGAGCACGGAGGACAGCGCCCGCCGCTGTGAAGGCCGGCACAGGGATGAGCCCGCAGTCTGAGCTGCCCCCTTTTGCCATGAAGCCACTGTTCGTGGGGGACGGGCGGGAGGGGAGACACTGCAGGGTCTCCGGATGCCCTCCAGGAATTCCTCCCCGTTTCTCCAGAGGGACCTGCGGAGCTGCATGGGCCGGCAGTGAGGCTCTGAGCCAGGCTGCCTGTCGCACTGGACCCCCGCGGCCCGCTGGCTGTGTCCCTGCAACTTCCTTCTCTCCCACCTGCTGTTCCTCTAAGGTAGGGGTGTCAAACTCAATCAGAGAAGGGGCCAAAATCTAAAATCCAGCCTAAATCGCGGGCCGAATGGTTTACTGAACAGTCATAAACTGTCATTGTGATGGAAACGCAGCAGAGTGCAGTGATGACAGCGCGGTGCGGGCCACATTGCAAGGCCTGGCGGGACGGATTTGGCCCGCGGGCCTTGTGTTTGACACATGTGCTCTAAGGCAGTGTTTCCCAGACTTCTCTCATGATGAGAATCACCTGGTTGAGTTGTTAAACTACATATTCCTGAATCACAACTAAGAAGTGCTAAACTAGAATTTTTGGGAACATACAGGTAAAATTGTATACTTAACTAGTGCTCTGAGACAGACACCCCTCAGTGTCTGCTGTCCTCACCCTGGCTGTGACCGCCACGCGTCACTGGTGGCCCCCACGTGCCTCTCCTGCCCGTGGTGAGTGTGCACGTGGCTGTGAGCCCGCCCGCTGGCAGCCGAGCTGGTACACACGTGCGGGCTTGTCAGCCTCCTCGTGCTGCCGAGTGGGCGGCCCTCGGCGCTGGCATTGGCCACCCAGCTGAGGCCTGAAAACCACAGCTCACAGCCCGTCACTCCAGCGGGGCGGGGGGCCTGCTATGGACCTGACAGAGCCTCTGCACGCCCCCCTCGTCCGTGGCAACCCCGGGAGAGCGAGCATGGCCCTCGTAGACGGGACAGAGGAAGGTCCAGAGAGGTGGGCACGGGGCCCGGAGTCGCCTCCCTACGCCGAGGCCTGCATCAGGCCCCCTGCCTGCGTCCCAGCCCCTGCTCCCCCACCCCCCTCTCCGCCTCCCTCCCTCCCTTCTCATGCCACCTGCCCAGGCATGGAGGCTTCACCTGAATTGCGTTCAGAAAGGTAGTTCCAACAGCAGGAGTAGGCCTAGTCTCTCTGGGTCAACAAGGAAGTACAGACTTTATTGTATTTTATTGGCAGGCTGCTCAGCATGGGTCTTTATTTCCCACTTGTGTGACCACCGAGAACGACCAGCAGGGACAGGTGCTGCCATCCATCCAGTCATCCACCATCCATTCATCCATCCACCCATCCACCCATCCATCCATCCATCCATCCATCCGGGCCAGCACTAGGCTCTGGGTGCCCGGTCCGCAGGGAGGGGACACCGGAGACTGATTGTGCCTGGCCTGGGCCCGTCACACCCAGTGGCGGCTGGCGCTCAGGGCTGTGCTGAAAGTCCTCAGGGCCCGGTGTGTGCCCCTGGCGGCCAGCAGGAGCGACCCCGCCTCGGCCTCGTGGCCGGCCTCCCGCAGGTCCCTGGCCAGCCCCTCGGCGTCCCAGCGCCCCGGCAGAGGGCTGGCCAGCAGGTGCTGGATGAGGCGCGGGTAGAAGGGAGTGGGGAGGCAGGGCACCAGCAGCTTGGCATCCAGCAGCAGGGAGAGAAGTTCCTGGTCACAGTTGGAGTCGTTCACCTGAAGGAAGAAGACAGGCAGGACGTGAGGTGGTGTGGCTCACCCTCCCCGGAGCCCCGCCTCGGCGCTAGGCCTGTCCGCCCTCTGGCGTTAGTCCTCAGAGCCCTCCCCCCGGGGAACAGTCCTGCTCCCCGGGGCACGTGGAGGGCATGAGCCTCTCCTGTCACTGCCAGTGTCATGGAGGGTGAGGATTCCGCTCAGCGCAGGGGGTCACTGAGCCCGGGAGCGGAGGTCGCCCTGACTCCCGGCCGGTGTCCCGCAGCCCCACGGCCGGGTTCCATGAGGCGCTTCCCCTGTCCACGCTCTTTAACCCCTACGACTCCCCAGAACAGACCCACAAGGGAATTCTTTCCAGAAGAAACCTTCTCCTCCACTGGGAAAGTACACCCTGGACCCCAGGACATCAACGGGGCGATGTCGGGAGGCGTTTCAAACTTGCTCTCACATCGGTGCTAGAAAGCTCAGCATGGAACTTACCTTCCCAAAGTGTTCTAGGGCTTTTAGCTGTGGCTTCCCTGTACGGCCCCCTGTCCCTATCTCTCAGTCTAGGAATGGTTTCCCATGGCTTTGACACTCGGCTCACACCTTTCTATTCCCTATTGCTGTTGTATTATTGCAAGGAGACCAGTCAGTACTAATGCATATTGAAGCTCAACTCCCTCTCATTGTCATGCTGTAGCAGAGCCACGGCAGGCTCTCTGAATGCCACTGTGCACTTTCAGGGACTCTGGCTATAGGAGCCTCGGACACAACGTGGCCTTTCAAAGCCACTGAGGTGGCGGTAGAGCTGCCGGACCGTCCTGCACACAGTGTGGCCGTCCTGCTTGCTCTGGGACGAGGAGGAGCAGCTCCCGAGACGCAGAGGTCAGCAGTGCCTACTGCACGTGAGAATGAGAACAAAGAGGTTCTGAGAGCAAGCCACTGCCCACCTTCCTCTAAGCCACCTGGTGACCCCTTAATACCCAGCGCAAATGTCAGCTCCAGGGACCCTTCGCGGTGGCATTTCCTCTAAATACCTGGCCAAGCTGCTCCCGCCTTCCTCGTCCTCCAGGGCACCAACTAACTGCCTCTTTGTGTCTGTTCTGGAAACCTGTCTGCCTCCGGGCCAGGCTGAGTGGTATCCTATCGTCCTCTGTCTCAGCAGCAGTGCGCGCCACTGAGCAAATAACTGAATTAGAGTGAGAGGCATGTGGTCTTGTGAAAAGAAGACAGGCTTTCGGGTTAGAAACCGTTTCCAGTCCTGGTTGCTTTGCTGCTGCTGTGAGGCCTTGCTCCGGACAACCACTCTGGGCTCCAGTTTCCACGTCTGAAATACAGACCGCCTGTGGGGCTGAGGTCACCTGTGCTTTCCAAGTGCCCAGCCCAATGCTTATAGAGGTCAAGCTCAATTAATGGCTCAAGTTAACGCAGTCAAACCAACCAACAATCCAGCCTTTTCGAGAAAAGGAAGGGGCTGATATCAAAGTGAACAAAACGCTTGCCACCTGTCTCCATCGGTGATGGTTCGTGTGTGTCGTGATTCATTTTTGAGAATAAATGAAAACTCTGCAGATCTTGAGGGAAAAGTCTATTAAAGCACAAAGTACTACTGTCTTCCACGCCATTAAAACGGTATCTGCTTAATTCCTGTTTCAATAATAGGTAATGAACCTTCTCTGAATTAAAGTCTTTGATTTTACGGATCCGTAAGAAGCTAAGAGTAATTACAGTAACGAGGTGAGCTCAATTTCCAGTAGCATCACGTATGCAGGACCTCATTTCAATGACTTCAAAGAAGATTATTTAAACTTATTTCCCTGTTTAGGGAAGGATATCTGTCTTATTACATTTACTATCACTAATAAAGTTATTAAGTATAGCAACAATAAAGGCAGAAAAACGGAAGGGCAACGTAAGTATATGGCTGGAATGAGGAAATGCCTGTGGACAGTTTTTTTGTAATTTCTATTTATTGGAATGACAGTGGGTCCCACTCCTGGCACGGGGTTTACGAGTATCCTCCTCTGAAACCCACACTGCGACAAATCACCTGCCTCACGGCCCAGCCACGGGGGAGTCAGACTGTAACCAGATCTTCCCTTCTGGGCCTGAGTTGGCCAGCCCCACACTTTGTCCAGCCACCGTCCTACTTGGCCTACTCCCCTGAGGCCCCATGTCAATCCTCCCCTGAGGCCCCCCCTCCACACACACACACCCAGGAATGGCATTGCCTTTCACCTTTACAAACACCCCCCCATTCCTCGCTCCTGAGCACCGTCCAGGCTGCGCACCTGAATGCCGGCACACTGACGCACAGCAGGCAATTCTCGATAACAATAATACAAGACTTTTTCCAACCTGTGCGCTGCCGAACGTTAGTAATTAGTTTCTATGTGCCAGGAGATGGAAAAGGTTGGAAATCACAGTCTTATGCTATACTTTTCATCATTATTGTAGAGTGTAGTTTCTACTTATTTAAAAAAAAGTTTGCTGTAAGCAGTGCAGCCCATGACGCGGGCAGAGCCTCACGCACCTCATTTCTGTGTCTCTAGGCTGCACCGTGTCCTCTGCTGTTTATAAACAGGGCGGCCTGAACAGACAGTGTGAGAGGCCTACAGTCATGCACATGTGTCCTGGGCCTCTGCCCTCACTCACCTCTCACCCACTGACTCACCCACGGTTTGGGGGCCTGGCTGTGCACCCCAGCTCCAGGCTTCTCCTCCCCTCTCTACCCTCTGACACTTCTGTTAGAAAAAGCATGCAATCACACATAACACTCACTCACCCCGACACAGAACACATGGCCACACACAATACTTGCAACGATCACTTCACCTGCAGGAATGACCTTCCTGCAGAGGGGTTTCAGCAGGAGTCACACAACGTGAATTCGTTAAAACGCAGCCCTGAGCTGCCTAGTTCTAAAGCATAAAGTTTAAAAAGGGAGGTGAAAGCTTCTTCCTTAATCACAAGACAGCAGCCTCCAGGGAGAGGGCGCAGGCCTGGTGCGGTCCACCGTCCCTCCGCCCTGATGGCCAGGCTGCCGGCGGACAGAGGGCGGGGTCAGACGGTGCAGTGAACATGACCGTGGCCGCTCTCCCACCTTAATTAGGAGGCACACACACCCAGACAGAAAGCCGACCCACGGCCAGGCACTTCCAGCCTGAGCTTCCCGAGCCCAGGACATGTCCTGAAGGGCCGACACCCGGCTTCTTAAGAGAAACAGCTCCGCTATTTGGATTGACAGTCTCCGCGCCTGAGCACAGAGGCTGGTTTGTAAACCGGAGGCGTTAGGCACACGTTTGTAAAACAGACGAGCACCTGCTTCCTAGACAGACAGAAAGAGCGGCTGTGGTCAGGGAATGCCATGGATAGAGCGATTGTGGCTAATCCCGGTCAGTTTGGCCGCACGGACTCACGTCCTGGAAGCAGAGTGATGCTGAGCGGGCGAGCGTATACCTGGGTCACGGCGGCCACGTGCTCCAGGGCCACGGCGTGGAGGCGGGCGTCCGGGCAATCCAGGAGCAGCTTGAGGGCCGGCAGCAGCAGTGCCCGGCTCCGCAGCAGCGCGCTCAGCTCCTCCACGCACTGTAAGCACAGGGTGTGACACGCTGACTCCGTGCCGGGACCGGCCCCCCAGCGCACAGGACACCGCACAGGACACCGTCCACCCGTCTGGGCCCCAGACCTCCCTCTGCGGCATCGCTCTCAGTGGCTGCACCGTGTCCCACCGGTGGGCACGGGGCTGTCACTTACTTACCTGAATTCTCAGAGCCCTCGCTTCCTCATAAGGACAATGGGGGTAATGTGTCTACTTTGCAGTGTGTGTGTGTGCGTGTGTGTGCGTGTGCGTGTGTGTGTATTAATAACAACATAAAATGCTCAGCATATAGTAGATGCTTACCGAGCAATAAAAAGTATCGTCCATTGTTAATACTATCAAATATCTAGTACCATCCACTGCAACAAAGGAAATAAGCAATTTAAATGTTTAATCACCTGTTTAAACCCTAATGTCAAGATGAACTGGAAACCTGATACTTAAGATGTTTCATCTTCATGAAAACTCGGAAGGCATTTGGGACTCCGCCGAGGGACCTGGAGCACGCTCAGCTCTTCTCCCGCCGGCCGGCCTGCCTCGGAGAGGCTTTCAGAGAAGGCAGCGTGTGCACCCGCTCTCCACAGAACGAGAGAGAGGACTCAGCCAGCCCGCCCCTCGGCGTGAGGGTGCCATGCCATGATTTCAGCTGCACGTGGTCAAGCTCCTGAGACATTTCCATTTGCCCTAACAATGCTCCTTCCTTTGTAACAACTGTAATTCACATCGGAGCACATTTAGTGATCAATGAAAATAGCACATAGCATTTGCACAGTTCCTTTAACCTCGACATCCTGAAAAAACCCATAACTGTGCCCCATTGTAAGATGGAAACTGAGGCAGCATGGGAAAATGATGGCAAGTCACAGTGGCAACAGAACTCCTAGGATAATAATTACTTTCCATCTCATCAAACTGGAGGAGAGAAGTGGTAATGACCTACTTACAAAAGGGGCTCCATCCAGTGCCTTTCTCCTTCCCCCGGGAGACTGTGGATTCGGGGGAGGCGGGGAGTCAGTGCTCTGGGGGAGGCAGTGGACAGCAGTCTCTGCTCCCTCCTCACAGAGAAACAGGGCCCCAAACAAAGTTTCCCTGACCTCGAACCCGCAGCCCTGACTGACCCAGCAGGCCTCTGGCCCTGATCCAGCCACGCCTGACCTCAGCTCATGTTACGGCAAAGGTGAGCCCGTGTTATCGGGTCTAGTAATAATTAATGTCGTTTTTAAACATTCATTTAAAATCTTGCTTGGCGTTGACTTGTATTGACATAACCTTCAAACACGGGGTATCTACAGAACGTGTGAAGTGCAATTAACAAGTTTTGCTTGAAAAAGTTTGTGTTTGGTTTGGTTTTTGTTGCAAAACTAGGGCTAAGAAGATGGCGGATGAAGAGCATATTCGGCACTGCATGCTTTACGAGTTCCAATTAGGAAGAAAAGCAAGTGAGGCTGCAAAAAACATCTGTAGTGTTCTTGGTCAAGATGCAGTTAGCGCCAGAAAATGCCAGCGTTGGTTTGAGAAATTTCGCGAGGGAAATTTTTCATTAGATGACAAGAGTGGTCGAGGCCATGTGTCCAATTTTGATCAAGCAGCTCTTCAAGCTCTTTTGGTGCAAAATCCTCAAATTACCCAACAAGAGCTTGCAACAACTTTAAATTGTTCACAGAAAACAATTTCCAATCAATTGCGTGAACTTGGCAAAGTCCAAAAGTTTGGAAAATGGGTTCCTCGTGAGTTGACCGACAACAACCGTAATCAAAGAGTCACAATTTGCAGTTCGCTCCTCTCTCGTCAAAACCATTTGCCGTTTTTAGAGCAAATTGTTACCGGAGATGAAGAATGGGTACCGTATGTTAATTTGAAAAGGCGGCCTCAATGGTTGGACAAAAATGAGGCTCCGCAGCCCACGCCAAAACCTGACTTGCATGCGAAAAAAGTGATGTTGTGTGTTTGGTGGAATTTTAAAGGAATTCTTCATTATGAACTTTTACCATCTAACCAAACCATTACAAGTGCAGTGTATAGTGCCCAATTGGAAAGGTTAGCCCAAGCTTTAAGAGAAAAAGAACCCGCGCTGATTAATCGGAAGGGCGTAATTCTTCACGATAACGCACGACCGCATACTGCAAGAATCACTGCTGAAAAACTGCGCCAGTTGGAATGGGAAGTTCTCCCTCAACCTGCATATTCTCCTGGTATTGCCCCTTCCGATTACCATTTGTTTCGTTCTTTGCAAAACTTTCTTCTTGGAAAAAAATTTAATAATGAAGAATGCCTCAAAAATGCATTGACCAAATTTTTTGCATCAAAATCACAAGAATTTTACAACAGAGGGATTAAAATGCTTCCTGAGTGTTGGGCACAAGTAGTAGAAAACAACAGCAACTATATTGTTGATTAAATTTTGTTGTATTGTTTAAATAAATTCGATTTAAAAAAGTATTAGAAAACGACATTAATTATTACTAGACCTAATATTTATACCGGACCTGCCCGGGGCTGGAGGGCGGGTAATAAACTGTGTGAAGACCCCACTCTGGGCCGTGTGGGGTCTCCTGCCACGGGTGACACAGCCGTGGTCCCACCTCTGTGTGCTCACTATGGCAGGGCCGGTCACAGGTAAGCAAGTGCCGACACCACCCATCACACCACGGGAGCAAAGGGAGGTGGTGTTGGTGCTTTAAATATTTCACAGGAGAATTCTGTCATTCTGGTGGTTGACAGACTTCTTTGAGTAAATATTTTAAAATCCAATCAAAAAACACTTAGCCAGTCCCTCAATCGGTAAACAATTCATTAAATGTGCATTCAGAATGAGAATCTTTTCCTTGAGTGATTACAATGAAGATTCAGACAACTCTATTTACAATTTTATTTTCAAGTTTATCTCCTATGTGGTAGCAACTCAAAAACCAATTAATCAATTTGGTGCCACTGTCCAGATGCTACTGCACACATGCAGCCTGCTCAGTCTCCACAGTGCCAAGGTCGGATCTGCTGTGGGAGCTGTAATTAATATGTGCTTATTTTAGAAAGTTCAGATACACATACGTCTACATATGACACAAAACCCTCTGGGACAGCCATAGCACGGGGTAAAATGGAGAACCAAGGTCAGATGGAGGTGGCTGGGTGTTCTAGCATGTTTACAGAGAACAAACATGAAGGTTTGCAATCTCTCACAACGCTGTGAAAAATACGGAAAAATCAGAGCGGGGTGACCTGCCCCTCCCCTCCGGAGGACTGCTCCGGACACGGCACCACGTGAGCTGCCATGACGCCTTGGAACCTACATGTGAGTGAGACACACGGGCCCAGAGGGACCGGAAGCGGGCTCTGCCCTGGGACTGTGAGAGGAGGCAGCGCCGGAGCCCGATCAGGGAGGAAGGCCCACCAGCGTCCTTTCGGCACTGCGTGTCCTCATGCGACTGCTACTCACGGGGCCCCTGAGCCCCTGTCCCTCCCGAGCAGCGGCGGCCACGGCCCACAGCAGATGGGGAGGAGAGGAGGGTGCCCGGGAGGGCCACTCGCCTGGGTGGGGAGCATCTGCCGGGTGCTGTACAGGGAGCGGCACATCTTCAGAACCTCCTCGCCCCGGGCCCGGCTGTTCTCCGACGTGCACCGGCTCAGCATCGCCGCCGCCAGCCGCACCCAAGGGTTGTCCGCGACACTGGCTCTGAGGGCGGAAAGACAGGCCCTGGAAATGACTCGGCTGGACAACTGTGGTCTCGTCAGCACAGCTCTGGATTCTAGACACGGAGCACCTAAAGGGGGCCCTCTCCTTGACCGCATTTTACTCCTTGCCCCTGAGAAAAACCTCAAGTGCAAGGACAAGGAGACACACATGAGCAGCCTCTGTCTCATCTCAAACTCAGCTCTGTGTCTCAGGGAGCACTGCTCACGTCAAAGCTCACACAAGGCCCAGAGCGTGTGGCTGATGGGAGTCTCCCTACACGCACGGACCAGCCCTCCTTCCTCTCAGAGTCTGGACAGGGCCCTAGGTTTGCCCCCCAGGATGCCCGCTGCAGAAGGACATGCCCCGCAGGGCAACGCGGCTTCCTGACAACGATGGCCAAGATGCTCTTCCACCAGCGTGCAGCTCTGAGACACTGAATTTCCCCAAATACAAATCTCCAGGCTTCCATGCAGCCTCCTGTGGGACCCGCACTGCCCATGTGCAGGTGGAGCCACTGAATTAGCAGCCACATGGATCGGATTGCGCACTCTCCTGAGTTTTTAATTTGATTGAGGTGACTGGCAATATCCATCACTGTCACACCCTCCCTCCCCGCTTCCCCTCTCCCCCCTCTTTGTTCCGGTTCCGGTGGGAGTGATGAGGTCACACTCGGATGGCCTGGGAGAAAGGCTCTGAGAGCCTGTCTGTACAGGACAATGGCTGGGCAGAGGGTGGGCGGATGGACAATGGGTTCTGACTCCATGTGTCGCACATGGAGGATGCAGAACACAGGTCAGCAATGTCCTCATTTCCTTCCATGTGAGACTACAAAAAACACACCTTTAAACATGAAGGTATTTTTGTCTACAAATACATTAGGTGTCTTACACGCAATAAATGTTTTAAGTGGAGCTGCTTTGTGTCTGTGGGTGAGCGAGGGACCGGAAATGGTCCTGTTGTAAAGCGAGAGGGACCGGACACGCACGGGTCAGTAACCCACCAGAGGTGTCACTCTGAGCTCAGAAGACTGACTGGGAGAGCCCCCTGAAGGGCTGCAGCAATCTACACTCAACACCGATTTCTAAAACAGAGACGCTGGCTGGCAGTCTACTCCCCTTCCTCACCACCCGGGACTTGGCCAGAAACGGACGCCCGGCCCCAGCAGAGACCTGGACT